ATATGTGCCTAAGTAGTGACCAAATTCTTGCCATTCACCAAGATATGCTCAAAATTCAATTAAACCTTAATTTTGAGATGTGATTATTTTACTCCCTTACTTACAAAACAATGCAATATCTTCTCTGTCATTGGAATGTCTAATTTTTAAATTTGTACTGGGGATTGAACCCAGGACCTTCACACTGAGCTACATCCTCAGCTCTTTTTTCCCTTTTATTTGAGATAGATTTCACTAAGTCACTAAATTGCCCAGGAAGGACTCAAATTTGAGATCCTCCTGCCTCAGCTTTTCAGAAGGTTGGAACTGTAGGCATGCACCACCATGCTCAGGGATATCTAAAACATCTAAATTCCTTAACATGACTTATAAACCTTCATAACTGATAATATTTCCACCTGCCTCTCTAGCCTTACTTCTCACTCTCCTCCTCCTGAATCATCTTGATTTTTTTTTCCAGCAGAGTACCATGACTCTGTATCTCATAACCTCAACTCTTCTGCATGGTGAATTGCTCTGCCCAACACAGGGTTCTATACATTCATTTATTTTCTATTTGTTAAATAACTGTTGTGGTGAGCCTACCCAGTACTAGATACAAGGAAATATGTCAGTGATGAAACCAAGCATTTTTTCCTGTCCTAGAGATTAAGCTGTAGCATGGGAAATAATCATAAAACATATGAAATGAATGTTAGGGCATGGTGAATTAGAAGGCAATGTGGGACCAAATGTCAGGGTAGCCAGACTTAACTGAGGAAGCAGAGCCAGGGGTACTAGTGTACCCCTGTAATCGTAGCACTCTGGAGGCTGAGGCAGGAGAATCACAAGTTTGAGCCCAGCGAGGGCAACTCAGTGACTTAGGAAGATGTTGTCTCAAAATAAAAAATAATACTTTGAAGGGGCTAGAGATGTTGCTCAGGGAGAAGGGCCTAGGTTCAACTTCCAGTACCAAAAAATATTTTTGAAGAATCAGTGGAGGTTCACTGAGAAAGTGCTGTTGAAGCTAAAACCTAATGGTGAATAGGTGTTAGTTGAAGTAACAGAGTAGGGAGAAAGGAGAAGGTTTGGGGAGTGGTAGCAAGAATGTTCAGATAACACAGTTAGATGAAAAATATGAGAGTATCGAGAAAAAACAGTCTTAGGGGGACAAATATCTTCACTGAATATATTTTATTGGTGGCCTATGTTGCCAAGTACAAAGAAATGTAAGATCCTAATTACCCTTTGTTGACAGCTAAGTTCAGATGACTCCTCCTTTCAGAGGTGTTACTAAATCTCCATAACTTTCTTGCAATTATAAGGGAATAATGAAATGGCATCATGGATGAGAGTCTAGATATCCTAAAACTGGTTCTTTTCTGATATTTATTCATGACCTTGACCAAATGCCTTACACCTGTACCTACATCTTGCCATTGGTAAAAGGGATGATAATATTAACCTCTTTATCTCACAGGTAGGAGCAAATGAAATAGTAGTACAAAAGTGTAAAGTACTACACTGTGCTTAGTGACTTTTTAATATAAACATTTCAAGCATAATGAACATTTCGTTAATTTCTGACAGTTCTCTATCAATTGCAACCAAAATCATTTTTCTTGGAGTTTCATTTTCAATTACACAAGTAGAGAACCCTCCTTACTACTCTTGAAGTGAAGCAAAATTGGATCATATCTCTTTTCAAAAGATCCAATTTAAAAAAATTTTCCAATTGTTCAAAGTAAAAATATTTTGAAGTAGAAACACTGAGAAATCCAGTTATTTTGCACTCTTCAAAAAAACTAAAATTCTTCTAGCTTTTATGGCCAGACTAATCTATCAGTACTTTCTTACATTTTATTTAAACTTGCTATCTGACTTCCAAGTTGTGAATTTATTGACAAATAGAGCACTGAAAGTTCTTAGTTTTTAAGTACACAAAGATTGCATTTCCATATGGCAGAGATTATAATTCAGAATAATTCTTTAAAGTTCTAAAAGCTAAGAACTCACATTTTAAAAAAACTTCTAGCTTCACATTGTGTTCTTATATGATGAGAAAGACCCATGAATACAACATCATTAGTTTATAGTTTAGTTTACCACAAAACTTTTATTCCTCCCTGAAAACATTTTACAACTGAATACATAGATGTCAAGTATCTCTGTCAAAAAAACCCCTCTCCATTTGTTTCTATAGTAATAAGCAGGCAAAATTATATCAATTCCCCTTTCATAGTAAAAGTCCATTCTAAAATATTTTATAAATATTGAGAATTATACAATTGCTACTTTCCTCTTTCTGTTTATAGTCTTTTACTTTTTCCTCTGGAAAGCAGCTGGATTTTAAAATACAGGTGCTCTGTTAAAGCTGTCTAATTTCAGTCTTATTGTACAATCTTGTTTAAAATTTTTTATTATAAATTTCAGATCCTTTATATTGCTGTGTTCTTTGTCAGAAAATATAAAAAGCCATTTAAGAGAAGGAAATAATTCATGGATAAGTTGATGAGAAAGAGGTCTTATGGAAATGCATATATAAGAACCCTTATTTGATGGCCAATTTTATTCCACTCTGTTAGTATATGTTTGAAGGAAATGCAGTGTTTGTAGAATCTTGCATTCGGGAAATTGGTGAGCATTTCCTTCCACCTTTCACACATTACAAAGGCCTCTGCAAGAGGGTTCAGAAATATGAAGCTCAAGATAACTGTCACCTTCTTTACACGTAGCTTCACAAGAGAATCAGCCTCTCAATCTCCATTGTAAAATGGAAGTAACGATACCTTTCTTACAAAGTTGTTCATGGGAATAAATTACATTAAATATATGAAAAAGTATCATTAGCTAGCAAGTGCTCTACAAAAATAAATTACAAAATTTACCAAGCGCTCAGATTCCAGAGATTCTGCAAAACGATTTAATACACATTTTGTCTTCTTATTCTTGCTTTTCATATGATTCTGTGCTAAATCCTTCATTAGGCAATAAGCTCTTTAAAGCCATGGTGAGCACACTGCATCTTTTTTCTGTTGGTCTTTGGTTTAGAATTAACTAAGGAACCCTCAAGGGCTTCTTTGACAGGTCACTAGATCCTCAGTGCTATTATCAAGTGAGTAATCAGCACTGTCAAAAGTCTCCTTCCATCTATTCTATGTCTCAACTCTTCTGTAGGCCCGTGCTTATTTTCACATATTTTAGCTTCCAGGCCCCAGGAGAATTAGCAGGTTAGCATCCATTTAGCTTAACATCTTTTATCACTGCTACCAAACTCTTTCAGCTGCAAGATACAGACCTTGGTTCTCAACCTAAATCTGTTCCTCTTCTGATCTAAAACAAGCAAAATTAAGCATATCCTTAGCTCCAGCAAGAGAAGAGTAGCAACCACGGCCCGTTCAAAGTTCCTAGAGCTAAAGAGTTCCCCAGGAGAGCCCAAGCCTGCCTGATCAAGGGAAAGCAGTAAAGAACATCACCGTGAGGTGGGGAGGGGAGAAAGACACCAGAATCAAAAGAAAGTGAAAGTAAGGATCTCTGGTCTTTGCTGGAACCAAAGTCTCTGTTTAACCGAAAAGCTGGCCTTAGCTCCATATAAACCACTTAAAGGCAGAAGAAATAGTGAGGAAGGGATGGCTCCTTCTAAGGCCCCTTCCTTCGAAGTACAGAAGTGCCCATCAGCTCTGCCCTCTGTACAAAGCTGTTCTATATCCTTTTTGCAAGGTTTTTAACAAGCGATCCCAGTTCAGGGCATCTTTCAGGTTTAGAGACGAATAGTTTTAGCCTACACCATCTCGCCTGGTCTTTATGGAGGGCCTGTGGCTCTCATTAACCAGCCCTGGGAAAGCTATCGCAATGCCCAGGCTCAGGTTAAACACGTGTGTCCGTGGCCAGCTCTGGCGCTCGCTGCGTTTCAGCACCGCCGGCTCCGGAGAGCGCCCCGAGAGAGGCCGGGGTCTGGGCCTCGCGTCTGGCCTCTGGTCCTTCCCCGCGCACTCGCTCTCACCCACACCTCCTTTCCCCGAGTCCCAGGAAAAAGCACACCCCCAACTTCAAACTTCGTAATTCCTGCTTCTAACGTGCCCTCCGCGTTCTCTCTCAGGGTCTAAATGCGCCCACCCCCGCTCCTTTGGGTGGCTCTGGATCAGCAGTGGAGCCGCGTGGTTTCTCCACCAGTGGCGCCGGATCGCCATCGCTTCCCCTAGCTCTGCGGGACTTAAACCAGCAGCCAGAAGCCCCGGCTCGCTCTCTCCACCCCCCACCCCCGCCCCAAAGCCTCTAAGAAACAAAGTCGCGAGGCTGCACCGCCGCCCCACCACACTCGCGCTCACACCCTCTTACGCACTCCCGCGCCGCAAGCCTTCCCGGGCCACCGCCGCCCTGGGCACAGCCTCGCCAACTGGGGCCCGGAGCCCTGAGCACGGCTCGCACGGGCCTCCCGCCGCGGCCGCCCGCCTCCCCTGCCCAGGCAGCAGGTCCCCCGGCCGAACCTCAGGACCCTGGGCCCCCTCCCCACCCACTCGAACATCCACTTCGCGCGGGCCAGGCTCGGCCGCCGCCCCCAGCATTCGCCCCGGGGCCGCCTGTGTTCATCCCCTGAAGCCCCAGCCCCTGTCGGTGGTGTTTCGTGTGGGTGTGTTTGCGCCTCCCAGACATATTTAACTCCTTTGAGCTCTCCGTCCATCCTAAACAAACAGCACGTTATTCCCCACCCTCTCCTCGCTTCTCTGAACCCCCACCTCTGTGCCCACCCCATCCAGCCCTGGGCTCCAGGCCCCTCGCCCCGTCGCGCCCCGCCCCCACCCGGCCCCTGCGCGGGGACCGGCCCGGCGAGCGGCGCCTGGAAACGCAGTCTGCGTCCACTCCCGGGAGCCGCGAAGGCAGCGCTGACCTCGCCCCCGCCGGGTCGGCCCGTGCAGCCCTCTGCAGGGGCACACGCCTTCCAGTTCAGGCGCCCTGGAAAACACAGGTGCGGGGAAAGGAGAGGAGAGGAAGCAGCCTCCGGGGTGGGCGGGAGGACTCACCGAACATCTGAATGTGCCCTTTGGTGATGGGATTGAAGCTGCCGCAGGCCAGCAGGATAACGTGGGTCTTAGTGGTCTCGGTCATGGTGCGGGCCCCTCGCGGTGGTCCAGGGCTTGCCTCTCTTTTTGTGTCTGGATATGTCTGCAGAGGGAGAAAGGAAGGCGAGGCTCCGGCGGTGGATGCTGTGGACTCCAAGGAGCCGCTCCAGACGCAAACCGCGTCACTCCCCGCCTCCCCTTAACGCTTGCAGCTCCGGCAAGATCCGAGGCTGCTTGTGTATTGCTCTCCTCTCGTCTCTCCTCGATGCTTCTCGTTTCTTTCTAGCTTCTTTCGTGTTTCTGGTCCCCGTACCCCACCCTACCCTTTCTCTCCTCCCCTCCCCACTTCACTACATCACTTTTCTTTCTTTGGGGTTTATCTACAAGGCAAGACCTGGTACCCAAATCCAGCACCATGGACACTTACAGCATGGTGCAAACTCTGTCCCTTCCTTTCTTCTGATTTTTTCCCTCCCTCATTCTAACATTTTTCTCTCCCCCACTGACTTTGTCTAACATCTCTACCTCCAAATATGTTTGATATTAAGAATTTTTTTCTTACTTCCTCAAAATTTTAATTGATAAATGACAGTTGTCTTCACCGCCCACCCCCAATAATTCTGAACTAATTAATATTGAGCTGAATCCAAATCTTTACCTAGGGGTTTCCAGGAAATGGGGGAAGGCAATACCCCTTCCTCTGTTATTTTGCTCCATTGTATGGGTTGAAGCAATGCTGTCAGTTGAGAGAATATAAATGGAAAAGAGTTACTAAAACTATTGTCCTACGTATGCTACCAAAGTTTAGACAAAGATTTATCATTTGACAATTATTTTTTGGGTGTTCACTATGTTTTAAGTGCTGTTATGAACCCTACTAATAAAGCAAAGCTTACATCTTCATTGAGTTTAAATTCTACTGGAGGGAGAGAGACAATAAACAGAGAAAGAAAACATTAGACTGCAATGGTGCAATGCACAGTAAGTGAGTGCAATCCACTCTGAGAGAACAGAGAGTGGACAAGAGGGGAAAATCAGGTAGTCTAAGAAGGCCTCTTCAAAAAGTTGACACCTAAGGTAAGACCATTTAGACAAGAAGGAATTGCCAGTACAACTATTTGAGGACAGAGAAGGGCTTCCTGTGCTCATAGAAATGAAAGGCAAGAGAGAAATGGGAGGAAAGATCATACTAGTAATTACAGCCAAATCAAATAGGGCATGAAGGCTAAGATAATGGGTCAGACATTTTTCTGAGTGGAATTATTTATAGTAGAATCACAAAAGGAAGTTTTTAAGGAAGGGACTAATATGTAATTTATATTATATATTAAATGCATACAAATGGGAAGACATGGAGGAGTTAGGGAATTCTGCTTGTAACCCTAAGCAAGCAGAGTCATCCTGAGACTAGGGTTTCATAGAAGTGGAGGTGATGAGAAAGAGATGATCCCAGGATAAGTTTTGTAGAATTTGTAGTTTATAGGCTTTGCTGATGAACTGAATTCAGAGGATGAGAAATCTAAGAAAATGTCTTAAAATTTGGGTTAGGAAAATGAGTGGGCTGAGATTTATAAATATGGAGGAAGCGAAAGTTCGAAGGATGCTCAAACATTCTACTTTGACACAATGGATAGAACCAATAATTAGCTTTGAGATTCACAAATACAATGAGTTACCTTTTTTTTGGCTTCAAGTTTCTTGGACAAAGTTCTGCCCCATAGTACTGAGCTCTTTCTTGTTTCTTATCCAAAGTATGTAGTGGACGTGCAATAAATATTTGTTAAATGTTACTGAATAGTAAATCAACCTTAATATGCATACAATTTCTAGCTTAAATACAAGAGTCTTTAAAAGTTTTGTATATTCATAATGAAATTTGTATCTTCCCTGCCATAGGATGCAGATTACTGAAAGAGGAAGAGATTTTACTTTCTGGGGAATTAACATAAGTAGAGTTAAGTAGTGAATATTTATTGAATCTATGCCAAACACTGATTTGGGGACTATGAACACCTGAATCAAGCAAGGGCATCTGTTGTGTGAATATCTGGGGATAGCATACTAGGCCAACAGCAATTACAAAAGGTCTTAGAAGCAAGAGTGCTTGGGGGCTATTCAACAATCAACCCCAGGGTGACTGAAGAAAAGAAAGAATGTGGAAAGATCTGGGAGACAAATCAGAAAAGTAGGACAGATTATGTAGGGCCTCATTTGCCCTGGTTATAACTCTGGCTCTTTTACTGAGAAAGAGAGTTGGGAAGTTATTGGAGTGATTTTGAGTAGAGAACTGTCATAAGCTTACTTGCGTTTGGAAAGTACCAGTATGGCAGAAGAAACAAATGTTGGACTCATCAGTATACTTTGTATTTAAAGTCATGGGATTGAATGAGATCACTAGGAAAAAACAGATATGCAGAGAACAGGCCCTCAGATTCAGCTCTGGGACTCATACACCAAAGTAACAATAGTAGCTAACATTCATTGGATATTATTACAAACCCTAGCACTATAAACTGTTTGACTTGTTTTGCACTCATAATAACTGTATGAATTTATATGTCTCTACCATTTTAGAGATCAACATGCAGAGGCACAGAAAAATTAAGAAACTTTCTGACAGTTGGTATGTATAGACCCAGATTCAAGCCAAATTCAATGCCTGGTAGTTTTGAATAAAAGCCTTTCTCTTGATCCAAGCCTACTCTCCTCTTGCTTCACTTTTGTGCTGTACTCACCTCATTTGTGAAATGAGGATAACAGTATCTACCAAGCCACAAAGATGTGAAGAGTAGAGGTAATGAAGGCAGAACACTGAGTATACAGTAGACTGTCTAGGCTGGGATATCTTAGCAGAGGTTGAAGTTGACTGAGAATTGCTTGCCAGGTGCTATGGTGTAAATGTTTGTGTCCCTCTAAAATTCATGTGTTGAAACAATCTCCAAAGTGAGAGTGTTAAGAGGTAGGGTCTTTGGAAGATGATTAGGTTTTGAGGGTGGAGTCCTTATAAATGGGATTAGTACCCTTATTTTAAAAAAAAGACCCTAGAAAGCTAACAGTCTCTTGTACCATCATGTAAAGGCACAGTAGGAAGGCATCATCTATGAACCAGGAACAGGCTCTTACCAGGTACCAAGTCTGCAGGCACCTTGACTTGCACTCCTCAGTCTCCAGAACTGTGAGAAATACGTTTCTGTTGTTCATAAACTACACAGTCTGTAGTATTTGTCATGGCAGCCAGAGTAGACTAAGATAGCAGCTATTCAGGTTTTCCCCTTCCTCATTATCCAGGAAAAATGGATGCATGGGCAGCAATATTCAGTGTATTATGTTGGTTTATTGGACATTCATTTAGCTCTTCAAGTTCGTTTTAAGAAAAACTCCAACTCAAATTCCTACACAGAATAGTGTTCAGTAAACATCGATGAATTAAATATAAAACTTTTTACCTGCCTGGTGCCCAGGGAGTAAAAATGAGATAAGGATTTATAATATGATGCAATAAATATATTTTAAGCTTATAGATTATATCTTAAGTAATACTTTAAATTCTAAAATTAGATTGTGATCTGAATTATCTCTTGTGATTTTCATTATTCTTACTTCTAACTTGTGTATGCCTAAAGAGGGCTTTAGAATTAGAGTATAAAAACATGGAGAGCAAGACCTGGCTCTGTCAGTTGCTAAATGTGTAGCTTTGGGGAAAATCTTTTATTGTTAAATATTTTGTCACCTGGAACTATGTCTACCTCTAGGTTGTTAAATATATATAGAAACATGTAAATATATCCATACATATATGAAACATTTTTGAAAACTAGAGTCTGGAAGATAATGAACACTTTAAAAAATCAGCTATAACTATTACTCATTAAATGGGGGAACATCTTGTGTACTTTACAAGGTTGCTGTATGGATCAAACAAATAAATAAAAGAGATTTCTTTAAAAAGCCCATTGTCAGCTTCAGGTCAAACTACATAGTTGCTAGATACAAAATACCTATCGCTTTTTAAGTTTTTAGTTGTTCCTATTGATGGGCTTGTCAAGGACATTTCTGGAAATAATGAATCTTAGAGGGTAACAGCTTTGGAGATGTGCTAGTAGCCTGTATATCAACCAGCAGGGAAAAAATAACCAAAAACATACTAACAATGAATTTGTCTGTAGTGAAGAATCCAATATTCATTCATAAGATATAGAAATAGGGATACCAACTGTTGTATAATACATGTACATATATATATATATGTATATATATGCAGTGATCTATTCTCAGGAGTGCTTATTTTAACTTAGGTAATGTAATTTGGTCTAATATTTCAACTTTCTGACAGCTAGAAATTGCTTTAAGTTCAGGAGGAGGAACCAGAGTCATTCTCCTGCTGCCTAACCCTAACAGTCTGCTCTAGTCAGGTTAGCTTCCTAATGACTCAAGGCAGACAGTCCAACCCAGAACTTTCCCTGCTGTATATGGGGCAGGCTTCAGTGTCTATTGGGTCTGATTTTAAATGTGCATTTGTAAATAGGCATATATAAAGGGTAGATATATTTACTCACTTACCTCCTTGTTTACCTCATGAAGATTGCTCATATATTTTTATCACAAATCAGGGTAAGAACATTCCATGTTTATGAAGCTGACTTCCAAAATAATATTAGGATCATTCTTCATAGGAAGAGAAAAAAGACACACAAAATAGGACTCCCGTAGTTTCCAGCATCAAGGAAGGTACAGAATATATATTTCATGTTTTCCTGGTAAAAATATTATTCTGAGAAAGTCATACATTTGAATTCTCTAGAGTTCTCTACATTTATACAGTGCTCTCTCTACTTGTTCCACTTTTCAAGGCAAACATCTTCAGGAGTAGAGCTAAAACGATTGCCATTGCTCTTCCCCTCTTTCCTACAAGCAAATGTTTTCATCTCTTGTGGTTAAAAATAGTCCATAGATCAAGACCCTCCTTCCTCCAGCTCTAATCCAAGATCTCACTCAGATTTATAATCTTATAATATCTCTAGTTATTCAAATCACTTTTCACAAGTGAAATATGTTCCTAAATTTAAAACCTGGTTATCAATTATAAAAATGGCAATACTTCTGGCACCCCAGGAAGAGGAAAAAACTATATGGCTCTCTATAGCCAATAAGCATTGTGTACCATTAAAAATAAATTTCTTCAGCTAATTCAGAGGTTTCTCATTTTATTCATCATGGCTTCTTTCAGATAGTCATGGTGGTACAAATAATTATTTCATCTTGAGACTGAAGATATCACTACTTCTATTTTTTTCCCAAGAGCAGAAATAAGAGATAGAAAAATCAGTTCCAGCAGATTTGGAAAGAAGTATAATTGATTAAGAAGTAAAATTATTCCCTGAAATGACATCTCTGCCTCCCTCCTCAGTCACCCAAATGGAGAATATATTTGACTCAAGGGAACATTAAATAAAGAAGAAGGAACTTAAAATACAGGGTTTTTTTAACATTAGGTCAACATTTCACAATGTAGTTAAGTCAGATTTAACCTGGTATTTCAATCATATGACACCAACCACACACACCCCCCATTTAGGTGTAGAAGATAATAGTTGCAGCTGAGCTATGCTAATAACTTGCTAGTAATAACTAATCTCAGAGGAAATGGAGGCATAAGAAAAACTTACACCAATTGGACATGGTAGCCTCAACCTTCAGAATTTATATACCTTCTTTTTCTGGAATGAGATGGCTCAAAGTTAGTAACTGTACATTTTAGGATTTTAAAGATGATTGTATTACTCAGGACTATCTCAGAAATAACTAATAGAAACTCTATTCAAACTAGGGTTTGAGGTAAGGAGGGGATTTATTGATCCATCTAATTGTAAAGTCAAGGAACAGATATAAATTTAGGCACAAATAATACATGACCCAGACACATCCAAAATTAAACTTCACATTAAAAACAGGCCAGGAACCAGAAGAAGAATGCAGAGGATACTGTGACATGATCCTTCTTGTTAAGCTTAAGATGTCTGTTTCAAGAAGTAGCTTGGATCAAAAAATTATCCAAGGAAGAGAGTGAAAAGAGGATCATACTTAAACTACACTGCATGGATTTGTGGGCCACCAAAGCAAAAGCCATACACAAATATAGTCCCCTCCACCATCTTTTTTCCCACAAGGCCTTAAATTCAAAAGGATGTTAAATAGCTAATATGGGACATATGCTTCTGAGAGTCACTGATAGAAGAGATAGTGCTGTAACTTATTTGAAGGATTTTTTTCCTCATTAGAGCAAGTAAAGAAGTGGAATAAAGAAAGACAAAGGAAGGTAAAGGATAGTTAAAAAAAAAAGGCATACCTTACTTTCTAACTCATTACATACTAAATGTCTCCAGAATTTTTCCATTTTTCTTTATCTTTTCATTACTCCCTAGGTTCACCTTATTAAATTATTGAAGAAATAGTTTGGATGAACTTCCTGCCAGTAATCTTTCCTTCCTCTTAACCATTGCCCATTGTTCCAGCTGAAGGGACTTATTTTCAAAAATATAAATCAGATCGTAACTCCTTTTGGCTTTAAGTCCTTTAATATTCCTCTCCAGTACTCTTCATATAAAACTCAGACTCTCCAAAAAACCTAACTAGTTCTGCTATGATTTGGCTCTTTATGGCCTCCCATCCTCACCCTTACTCCCTTATTCCAGCCACATTCTGAACTTCTTTTAGTCATCAAGTGAACATGCTCTCTCCTAGCCAATAAATGTTATTTTCTCATCTCCATCACTTATAGATAACTCTGGCTTAACCTAGAATTTATTTGATTCCCTTACCTTTTGTGAGGCCCTGGTCTGCATTAACCTCTGTCCTCATACATGCTGTTTTTCCTGCAGCATATCTCTTTTTTTTATACATATATTTTTTTTTGCTTAAATTCTTTTATTGGTATATTTTAGGCATATAATACATTTACATTTATCAATGGGTGCTTATACCTGTACATGATGTATCCTTGTTCTTATTTTTCCCCATTACCTGTGTGTCCTTCACCTTTTCCACCCTTCCCTATTTACATAACTTTGTTTCCATTGTTTTCTTTTCTCATAATTTTTCCTTTCCCTTTTTTCCTCTCCCCTTCCCCTATAGACCTTTTCTTCCTATTTCAAATTATCAATTATTCATTTTAATTCTTATTTACACTTTCAGTTTCTCACACTAGAGAAACTATTCGGTATTTACACGTGTGTCCTCTTTATTTCACTTAAAAGTATTGCCTCAATATGCATCCATTTAGCTATAAATGACTCTGGTTTCTCATTCTTTATGGTGCGTAGTACTCCAGTTTATAAAAAAAAATCCACACCTTCTTTATCCAGTTTCCAGTTGATGGGCACTTGGGTTGTTTCCAAGCTTTAGCTATTACAAACTGTGCTGCTGTAAACATGGATGCACATATATCACTGTGGTATAATATCGCTTTTAATTCTTTGGGGAAGATACCCAGCAGGGGAATAGCAGGGTCAAATGGGACCTCTAGCCCTAGTTCTTTGAGGTATCTCCATACTGATTTCCACAGTGGTTGCACCAGTCTACACTCCCACCAGCAATGAAGAAGGATTCCTTTCTCCCCACAACCCCGCCAGCATTTGTTGTTGGTTGATTTCTTGATAGCAGCCATTCTTTCTGGGGTGAGGTGGAATCTCAGTGTTGTTTTCGTCTGCATCTCTCGAATGACCAGTGATGTTTAGCATTTTTTCATATGTTTATTTGCTGCTTTTATTTCTTTGTCTGAAAAATATCTGTGCATTTCAGATGCCACTTTTGAATTGGGTCTTTGAATTTGGGGGGGTCTGATTTTTTTCAGTTTTTTATATATTCTAGATAGTAGTCCTTTGTCTGAGGTACAGCTTCCTGCAGCATATCTCTTATCACAGTGTCCTGCATTGCATTTAGCTTTTGATTCGATTCTTCTACCAACATCTATTCAGACCCTACCATATACAGGAAGTACGCTTAATACTTTATAGACATTATCTCATTTAATTTTCACTATATTTTAGTGATGTAGGTTCTAAGATTAGATGAGGAAATAGAGAAGTTAAATAACTTGTTCATGCATCACAGTGATTAAGTGGTGGAGGACGGCTTTGAACCTGGGTAGTCATGTAGACAATCCTAATATCCTACTCTTTCAAGACCTCCATAAGAGAAGGAACTGATTCTGTCTTGTTCACCACTGTACCTCCAGCACCCATCACAATCTGGCATATAGTAAGGGTTCAAAAATATCTGTCTAATAAATGTGGAATGATGTTTCTTAAGGCTGTATCTAGTCTCCATGTATTTCGACTTCTATTCTAAGTTATATGACTTTAAAAATGAAAAAAAGAATTATCTAAACACCCTCTCCCTTCTCCCCTCAAGCTTTCTTGTAGGCCATGACTGTGTTGTTCATTGTTTACAAGGAATAGAGTTCTTTCCTTGCATGGGTTACTGTCAGTCAGAAGTAGCCATCCATTCCCAAAGGCTCCTATGCATTTGCTTGAACTTTAGGGTCTAGAAAGGTAGAAACTACATTTCTTGACTCCCTTGCAGCTAGATTTCTGGATACTAATTAGATTCTACCTGGGGGTTTCCTTGTAGGAGATTTAGAAGGTAGAATGAGGTAGAAGCCACCTTCCATCGCTATGGATACTAAGCAATGCTGTAGAGATGTGTTTGAGGGCAGCACCCACATTCCAGTAATCACCAAATTCTAGTCACCAAAGACAAGGGCAATGAGAAGCAATTTTGGCAGCTGTTCTCTGAAGTTTGACTATTGTACTATGCCCTTAAAATATAGAATCCAGTGGTGGTCCCTAACATCAGTTTCTTTAGTTCTTCTAATGAATATTGTAGGCACTTAATTTCTTGTTTTTAATCCCTTTCTGTTTAAAAATGCTAGAGTTGTTTCTGCTTCCTGAACTGAAACCTGACTTATACTGTACCCACTTTTTATGCATGGAAAGAGCAAATTATAAGTAAATGCAGTTATTTGGGAAATGTAAATGTATGATGAATAAGAAATTGATTGACCGGGCTGGGAATTTAGCTCAGTGGTGCCGCCGCCTGCCTTCCAAGCGTAAGCTCCTGAGTTCGATCTCTGGTACCAAAAAAAAAAAAACAAAAGAAGAAAGAAAGAAAGAAAGAAAGAAAGAAAGAAAGAAAGAAATTGATTGACAGGAATTAGACTAATGGACAAAAATTATATGGTGTGTGTGTGTGTTTCATGAGTCAGGAAAGGGAGATGTTGGAAAGCATAAATCAACCAGAATGATAGGATGTCTGGGAATAGAGAATGGACATAGAATCTTAAGGTTCTATATGAAAATACCACAGGAGATTTGGAGTTAACAACAGTTACTATTATTAATATCTAATAATTATTTCCATGGGTAGAGGTATTCCGTGCTCAGAGAGCTACCTCATTGTGATATGTTACTTCATGTTATTTTATCTCTACAATGACTGATTCTGTGAGTTAGGTGTTGGCAGGCCCTCAGATGAATGTTACATATGAAGCAAGAGCAACACTCAAGAACTCTAAGTGACTTAAGATTGTAGCTGGGTCAGAATATTGATCCCAAGAGTCAGTGTCCTACTCCAGGCAGCTGGCAATAGAACTCACTGTTGGTTTAAGAAGGAGGGAAGAATGGAGGAATTTAGGCTGTTAGAGGTAATAGGCATGATGTCTTAAGTCTGAAGGCAAGGGCTGTAGGGTCAGTCACAAAGATCCTTGGCTTTTAGATGCTAGTAGATACCTTTCTTTGTTCTTTCTCAGTGCCTAGTCCTAGGGAGGTAGAGCCTCGGTGACTAGCCATGGAGTTGAGGAGCAAAGTAGAATCAGTCTTTATGAAAGATGTATAAAATTTGGTATTGTGTAAATATGTTGACTGTATATTCCAATACTGTCAATTTTGTGCTTAAATTTGGCTGAATACATATTAACTCATGTTAAAGAAAGGCACTGGGGCAAAGTGAAAGGCTAAGTGTGGTTCTAAGCCTCATTCATCTAAAGAGAAGGATGCTCTTTGAGTGTTCGAGTTGTGAATAGGCAACTTCTTTCCAGAGGAGCCCTAGTGTTTGTGTTCTGCCTTCCACAAGGCTCCCTTACTACTCTCAAACTTCCTATCATCCTGGTCACTCCCGCTTTAAGGTGTGACTAGACAAGTAGCATTGCTTGGGGAAAAGAGTGAGCTGTCTCCATTAATGGAATGTCAAAAACAAATAGTTCAAAAATAGTTTGGGAGAGGGAGGAATGAATGAGCCATCATGTAGGTGAGACAAAAAGAGTTGGATCTATGATTTATTTCTTCTTTTTGAAGGGCACTACTGGATCAGGCAAAAGCAAGACAGTTCTCTTTCCCTTAAGTGACAGGCACCTGATACATATCCATGCATCTGGCCCCAAATTATGGGGAATAATAAAACATTCTTAGGAAGATTATACAGCAAGGGTTTCCGCTACTTCTTTTAGGTCTGGTGATATTTTCTCCTGTCCCACAAATGTAGGCAAGAGTCAACCAGGTGGGCATGGAGCTGCCCTGGTTAGAAAAGAAAATGCAAGATGAAAGGAGCAAGCTCACTTGGCTAGCTACTATCTCTCAGGAAAGAAGACCTAAAGGGGACTTCAGGAATGAGAGGAGACTCTGGGAATTGAAAGTTTCTATATGTGTATATGGTGTAGGCAATTTTTAAAAAATATTGGCAAATTTATTTTAGAAATAGTTGACCATAGGACACTATAGCACATTGGACCTACATAATAGTATATACATTCCCAGTCTTAAAACTAACAGATGGCCATGTAGCTATTTGAGCTAAGGGTGAAAAGATGAACTTAGACATCCCTGGAAGCCCTGGAAGTTTTGAGATTTCATCTTGTAAAAGCAGACACATGGGACTCACCTTTATGGCTTTTTTGGGTAGATGTTCTCTAAAACTGCCCCATCCACACGTCCACCAGCCTGCCTAGGCCAGGTGTCCACAATTATTCTCCTCCCATCCCTCTGGTTGGGGGCTCTTCTCACTCTCTGCTCTCTCTTCTCACTCTCAGTATGGGAAATGTATTTTGAAGGGAAGAAAGGAAAGTAAACCATCAAGAGGCTTAAAAGTTAGGTGCCTTCTGACTTTTTACTCTCTACCTGTGTGTATCATGGAAGGGTTTGAAAGTAGACAGGATTTATTATCACCATTTTCCAAATTAGAAGAGCCTGAGGGGGCAAGTTTTTGTCCAATATCATGAAACCGTCGACAGAGCCAGGATTTGAACCAGGTCTGCCTGAATGCAGAGTTTGCTCCTATTGGAAGAAAGGCTCATAGCTCAGGGTACACAGTTGCCTCTCTTAGCTGTAAAACTCTGAATTGTGTGAAGGTCTCCAGCTGTTACCTTTGAGCCCTTTTGCTTCTCAAACATGAAAACTAGCCTGGATGAGGACACTGCTGTGCCACCTCCACTTTTCCGCTCAATGACATTTCCAACCAAAGGCTGAGGACAGCTTGTCCAGAAATGACTGTTTGCCAGAATCCCACCAAATGGAATTTGAGTGACTGTATTGATGACCATCAGTGCCCTGTTCTGCTTCATCCTTCATTTAGTCCACCTCTGCTGAGACTTCCCTACCCCGTCAGCAGAGAGGCTGTAAAAGGTCTCTGGCACAGAGCATCTCTTCCAAGAAAGACTTCCTGACAGATGGTAAGTGCGGGACCATTTGTTATGAAAACATGTTAAAATCTTCCTTTAGGTCCTATAAAAGGTATGAGCTGAATCAGCTTCCAAAATAATTTGAGCAAATTCCTCACATAGAGAAGGTATTGTTAGTACATAGTAAAGGGTTTATTTCCTTATATAAATGGCACCGAAAGGGTATTTGAAGTGATCAAACTTTGTATAATTAAGAATGATGGGTCTTTTGCATTGTCAGCCTCCCAGAAAAAAGTGCAGAAGCTATAATGTGAATTAAATTAAATACACTACTGAAAAAGAGGCAATTTTGCGATACAGTGGTAACTGCCTGCGTGATGATACTGACACACTGTTCTCTGCTCTTACCATTGTGCTCTTCAGAGAATCTAGGACACTGAAAGAAAAGAAAGCACTTTTCACCTGAAAATGATGCAGATCAGATTTAATTTATCAGTCTTAAAAATGAAATTTAGAGAGGAAAGAATGTAGCTAGCTCATACCTTTCCCTCAAAGCTTCACTAAGGAAAAAGGTAAGTTTGGGCAGGAAGGGTTTTTCTTCACATAAGGTGGAGTTTGGTGTGTGTATCTATGTGTGTGTACATATGTGTGTGTTTGTGTGTGTGTGTCAGAGAGAGAGAGAGAGAGAGAGAAAGAGAGAGAAAGTCGAACTTACGTTGTATTATGAGCATACCTGGACATTTTAAAGAGAAATGTGGATATTATTAAAATAATACAACTAAGAAATAACCAACGCAGAAAAGTATACCATATGTTAGTAAAACCTCATATGTAAATCAATGTTTACAAAATAGATAACTTTAAAGAGCAAAATAAGGATAAATAACAGGAAACAGAGCTAGAGCTTTTTCAAATGAGAAGGGGACCAAGAGGTGGAGGGAGGGGGAAGGAGAAGGGGATGTAAAAGAATTAACATGTGTTATGTACATGTACCAGCTCCCCAAAATGAATGTAATTATGTACCGCAAAAGATATAACTAGAGATTGTTCATTTGATTTAGTGATGGACTTTTTTGTTTTAGAGAAAGATTTACAAATAGGATTTCTCTAAATACTAAGATTTTGATTGGATATCCATGCTCTGTATTTAGGAAAATTTAATTTACACTTCAGTTTTCAGAATCACATAAATTTTTTTTCTTTTATGTATGTACTGGGGTTAGAACCCAGGGTGTTTTACCAATGAGCTACATCCTCAGCACTTTTCATTTTTATTCTGAGACAGGGATTTTCCTAAGTTGCCCAGCTGGTCTCCAACTAGCAATCCTCCTGCCTAAGTCTCCCAAGTAGCTGGAATTACAAGTGTGCCACCTTGCCCTGCTCACAAATACCTTTTGAGTAGAATGACACCAGAACTAAGATGGAATGAATCAAAATAAATTTTTAACAGAAAGACTCTTTCTATACAAAGAAAGAAAAAGCTGAGTTATGGATACATGACGAAGCCAATATAGGATTAACTTGCCCAAAGTCCTTTCCTTTCACCCCGATTAACTTATCTTCCACCTTACACACACACAGAAGATGCACATCTTAAACAAGGCTGAAGTGGGATAGTTAAGGCAAAACCCTGTTTAAGGAGTTTGATAGATGTTTCTGTAAATAATATGTTCATCCCAAGGGATTAATGTTTACTCCTTAAAGCTTTCTCTGAGAGACTAGTTCTTGGTCTTCCCTGTTCAGCCCAGTCCTACTTGATAAATTACAGTATAAAATGCTAGACATATAAGGTCCCAAAACTATTCCATAATTCTGAATAACTCAGAGTTATCTTCTTTCCAATTAATTTGTATAAGTGAGACATGGTAGCAATACTATGAAGTTATTCAAGAGATTCCAGAGTCATAGAAAAAGGTGGTTGACGCTATGAAAGTTAGTATGGAAATTACTCAAAAAATCTAAAAATAGAAATTCCATTTAACCAGCTATACCTCTTCTAGGTATCTTCCCCCATGAGTTAAAGACATGTGATATATATATGCACAGTGGATTAAAGAAGGATAAATTTGAGTCATTTGTGGGAAAATGAATGTACCTTGGAACCATAATGCTAAGTGAAATAAATCAGACACAGAAGGTTACATATCACATGGTTTCTCTCATATGAGAAATCCAAAGGATAAATAATTTAAAGAGAAAAATAAAAGAGGAAGGGAAACAGGGAGAAAGGCTTTATGAAGATGGGAAGGGGTTCTGGGAAAGAGGATAGATAGGAAGAAGAGGAGGAGGGAGTAAAAACGATCAAGATCCCATATATATACCAATGCCCCATTATGATATGTTTATGTATAGCAAACATATACTAATAAAAAAAAAAAGAAAAATATGTAGTTGAAATGCTATTTGTTCCCAAGACAGGAAATAGAAAAAAGATTCTTCCTTCATGAATGTGGTTGCCAACATTGTTGGTTGCTAGCTCTCTTTTTCCTTTTTAGGTTGTCGTTCCTAGCTCTTCTGTAGTTATATGATCCATTTCTGACCAAAGATATATGAGGGGAAGTCTGCTGGAGTGGGAGGAAGGGTTTACTTCAGGGAATGATCTTTATTCCTGATAAAAACAAATAGAAAATCAATTGCATGAGGATATGATATCGAAGCCACAGCACCAAGATAAACATTTAAGACTCTAGAGCTACCAGAGTGAAAAAACAACTGATCTTTAATAGCATCATGGAGTCATTTCCCAACCCTGGAACCATCTGTTAGTAGATAAATGTGTTCATTTCTTAAACCACTGTTTGTCGTGTGTCCTATGACTTGCAGCTGTTGAATCCTGGCTGATTCAACAGGCCCAACACAGGAAAAGATTCTTCAATCAAGGCTTCCATTACTCCATTTGATACCTCTATGCACATTAAGAAGTGGTCCTGCTCCCACATGGATATCAAGTCCCACTCATCCTCTTTGCCACGTGTCCACTAGAGTTCACCAGCTTGCCTCCTTGCGGCTTGTGGGTGGCATAAGGACACAGGGTGTAGCTCCAAGGACTCATGGTATAGCTCCAATTCCTAACAAAATGTGTGCTGTGTGTGTGTGGAGGGGCAATGAGCACTCCTTTTGCTTTCTGTTATTTACTGACTCGATTTGAGTTTGGACAAAATTGGGGCTGTTTATTATTGCTTTTCATTTTAAACAATGAGCTTGTTTTGGGGGCCCACATCTGATATTGGATTGTCCATTGTTTAATAAGGTACTCTAAAATATAAATTAAAAAATTATTATTCAATACAAGTTCTTTTTGGAGTTTACATTGCCATAGTTCATCTAATAATCTGATAAAACTGGGCTGAAAAAGACAAGAGCTAAGCAATAATATCCACTTACAGTATGCAACTATTATGATACAGATTACTTAATTTGCCTGCTTTCTTCTCTAATCTACTGGAAATACTTCATTTGGATAGCTAGCAGGATATCATTTAGCCTTCAGTTGATGCAAATAAGAAATTTTCATATTAGACTAGCTACAATTCATAGGGAGCCACAAAATTATTTTAATTATGTTTAATAAAAATTTCAAGTTATGTGGAAAAAAATAACTTCAAGCTATTAAATAGTTTAAGCTAATGCATTTTTATGAAAACATCTTTCTAATTAATATAATCACTGCAAAAACTTATTTTTGTCTTCATAACTATAAGATTAATCATGAGTACAATGATATGTAGAATTATTATTATTTGTTAATGGTATTATTACTATTTTACAGTACTTAGGATTGAACCAGAGGCTTATTCAGGCTAGGCAAGCACTTTACCACTGAGCTACATCTTCAACCCTTTTTGTTTTCTTTTGAGACATGGTATCACTAAGTTGCCCAGGCTGGCCTTCAATTTGGGATTCTCATATCTTATCAAAATTAAAAAGTTCGGCCTTGAAAAAAACTCTGTTAAATGAATTGAAAGGCAAATTATAGGTTGGGATAAATATTTGCAGATTGTATACCCAATAAATTACAGCCAAATGTAAAGAACTTGTAACTCAATAAGAAAACAAACCACCCAATTAAAGGGGAAAAAAAGACAAAAAGCAAGATCTGCAAAAGGAAAATAACATATGGAAAGATGCTTCAGATCATTAGTCCATAGGGAAATGCAGATGAAAACCACAATAAGATACCTGTTAGGATGGATACTTTTTTATTCTTTTGTAGTAGGGATTGAACCCAGAGCTTTGTGCATACTAAGCAAGTGCTCAGCCACCGAGCTACACCCACAGCCACAAATAGCTGCATTTAAAAAACCTGATCCTTCCAAATGCTGTCTAAGCTGTGGTACAACAGGCAATGTGATTCATGGCTTGTGGAATATAAAGTGGCACAGCTGGTTTGTCAGTTTCTGACAAAGTTAGCATGCACTTGCATGACTCAATGATACCACTCCTAATTTTTTACTAAAGCAAGATGAATATTTATATACATAGAAACCTATAAATAACTATTTATAGCTTAATTCATAAGGACTAAACACTAGAATCAATTGAAATATTCTCAAGAGGTGAACAGATTTAAAAATTGTGATACATCCATACAATACTACTCAGCAATAAACAGAAAGGAGACATTATATCATTCAACAACACAGATAAATCTTAAGTGCATTTTTTCTGCGTAAAAGAAACCAGACCTAAAAGGGCACAAACTGATTTTATTTATGTGTCATTCTTCAAAAGGAAAAACTATAGAAACAGAAAACAGATCAGTGGCTATCAAGGGTTATGAAGAGATTGGCTGAAAAGAAACTACATAAAACAATTCTTTAATTTGATATTGTGTTCATTTTCCTTTTTAAAAAATTAAATTTTTATTAGTACATGTTTGGCGTGCATAATGATTGCATTCATTGCGGGGAGTTGGTATATTATGTAACACACTTTGATTCTAAGGGGTTCTATATGGTATTGTGGTGGTAGGTACATGACTGTATTCACTTGTGAACACATATAGCACCTATTCTAATTCAGTTTGACTTATTTAAAACTAAGAATAAAATTTACTGTATATAATTTTTTAAAAAATCAATTAGGAGGTAGAGAATCCCAGGATGGAATGTAGGCTGAAGTGCTGAGGGGACGGGGAGAGGAGCTGATCTAAGGGACTGGAAACGGCTTTGACTAGATACTGTAAGGCTAAAGCACATAAAGGACATAAAGACTTTTGCTTATTTGTAACTGTGTTTCTGACACTTCAAGAAACTCCGGAATATGAGTTAGGAATTCTAAACTATTTTACATGTATGCTAGGATTAAACAAGTCAGTAAATGGTAGCTAATGGAAGCCAGGTTTTTTTCTTGTCAGAAAAAAAAGTTACAAAAAAGGAAACAAAGAAGAATAAGCTTTGTGAGTCTAGATAAAAGTTGGCAATATCAGTATGAATTCAGTGTATGTGTGTGTCAACGTGTGTATGTATGTGTGGTGTGGCATGTGCATACAAGTAGCAAGATATAAAAATTAATATAAATGTGTGTACCTGCACATGTGTTGCTCTATTTGATGGAAGTGAGTAGCTATAATCTCAATAGCAGTGAGCACCAAGATCTCAGTTTCCAAATATTATTCTCCAATAAAAGAATCCAGGACTCCGAAGAAATTGCTGCTTCTATAGTTAGAATAAAGAAAATAAAAGATCAGTCTGGAGTTTCTTGTAGTTTCAGAAAGTAGGAAGTGCTAAAAGATAACAAAGGATGGGTTGTTTGGGCGTATCCAAGACCACCTACCTGTTCTGTAAGTTTCTAGGACTCACAGAATTCAGCATAGAGTTGTACAAATGGCTAGAATTTATTATCATGACACCGGAAGGTTACATAGCAGATCATTAGGGGGAAAACACATACTGGGCATCTGGAGAAATATACATCTGATCTTCCTGTGCTTTCTGACCCAAACCAGAGCAGTACACACCAGGGATGTTTTCTTTTCCAGCAATGAACATGGCGGATGCACTTGATAATCATCCCTGGAGAATGGTGGTAAATCTCTCTTGTTGCCTCTACTCCAAACAAAAAGTATGTTTTTCTTAAAATGAGTGATTTTAGAGGCATATTAAGTGTCTTAGTCCATTGAGATTACTGTAACAAAACACTATAACAGAACATAGACTGGGTAGCTTATAAAAAACACAGATTTCTCACAATTCTGGAGACTGGGAAGTCTAAGATTAAGGTGCCAACAGATCTGGTGTCTGGCAAGGGCCCTTGCACTCTAGCTCATAGATACCTTTTAGGTTAGAAGGGTAAAAGCTCTCTTGGGCCTGTTTTGTAAGGGCACTGATACTGTCCATGAGGGCAGTAATCACCTCTTTAATGGCCCTACCTCCTATAACATCCCCTTAGACTTAGAACTTCAGTATACTAATCTTGGAAGAACAAAACCATTCAGATCACAATAATAAACTTTGGATATTTTCCCTTTTAATGAACAATGTCATGATGGAAAGATACCTGGCTGACAGTTTTAAAAGTTCACACTTTTATGTCAGTATATAGACTAGCAGGAGAGATACCTTTATTGCACCGTCAGTGGGCACTGGTTTCCAGTCTTCTGTCTTGACTAGAAAATTGAGTCCGGCCTTCTGACCTCTTAGAAGTAAGATGAGTAAGATACATATGCCCCTGATTTTACTGTGCAGGTGCTAAACTTATCAGCCCAACTATCCAAACCTCTATTTTGAGGCTACTAAGCCTACAGAAGTACCTAAAAATTATGTAACATAACAGGTATAGGAAATGTGGGCCTCACCACTGGGCCTAAGAATTTAAGATATCACTGACTTTAGTAGTGGCCAGATATAGTAAGCAGCTGGGAAGGGGTTGAGAGGTAACTTTGGAGTATGGACTTATTGTAAATAGTTTTGTCTTCTTCTTCTTTTTTGGTACTGGGGGTTGAGCTTGGGACCTTGTGCTTTTGAGGCAGGTGATGGAAACACTGAGCTAAATCCCCAGCCCTAGTTTTGTCTTCTTACCTATGCTTCATCCTGCATTAAAATGTTCAGGGTTTTTTTTTCTCATTGGAAAAGAGTTTGCAGTCTTACGCTGGCTAAACTGTTTCTTGCTCAATTTCTTTTGTAAAGCTACAATGAAGTAATTTTTGCTTATTTTTTAGGCTCTCACCTACTTAGAAAAAGGTCCTAAGATGGCTTATTCCCATAACAATTGTGCTAACCTTAGGTTTTCATTCTTTTCCAGACCATTTGTTCCTCTTCACCATGAAGTCAGAGTACCAAATTTGTGACAGTACAATCATTTCCATGGCAACAGAACATGGTCCTCATTTTACTCTGTCCAAGATCAAGCAACAGTAAGAATGGGGAGTACATATTGATATTTTCTCTTCTTTTTCAAGTTTGGTTTCTCTGAAAAAGTTCCTACTTTTGATTCTAAAATTTTATACTTATCCTGAATATGTATTTTTGCATAGCTTACATATGATGTATTTGTTTGGCAAATAATCAGATAGGCAGTCAAAAAACAATAATGTGAGAAAAATCTCACAAAACCACACACACACGTGTAAACGTCTTTGAAAGTGGGATGATTAGCACATGCCCTTGTGATTGGGATAGAAGAAAAGGAAACAAGGAATCCATTTAAAAGACATGAAACTTCTAAGCCTAAGAAATGTGCTTTGATGACTGTAATAAGCAGTGGAAGGCAACTGACCTAGTTCCTCCACAACAGTTTTCTTATCTTCCAAAGCACAAGTAAGACACAAAAGGATCTTCCCATGGGAGCCCAGATTACCTGACCAGAAGAAGAGAGATGGACAGCTTTATTCACACAAATGGCCAAAGCTTCAGTATTTTATCCATTTGCTTTAATCACACACAGCTTAATTACAAGTCTTTGGAGAAGCTCCTTAGAACTCCATTAGCTATGCTAAGGAATGAAGAGCATGAATTTTTGAAAGGGAACTAGTTACTGGAGTAATAGAATAAAACATCTTATTGGTCCATTAGTTTAGCCTTTTAGTCTTAGAGGACAAAGGATAGTATGACAACAGTACCGGACATGGCACAATTTAATGTGTATGTCATATATATTGACTATGGCATATTGTATATATGATACACTATCACATATATTGTATATAACATTCGTAAGTCACAGACAAAGTGTGCCTATAAGAATTGACCATTATCTTCCAGCTTTCTTGTTAAGTAGATGGACTTAGTGGGGAAGGTAACAGGGAGAAATAAAGAATGATAAGAGACAGAAGAACAAAAAGAGAAGCTAGAGTGTCATATTATAGAGTGAAAGCTGGTCCTGGTGGCACAGGTATATAATTCCAGAACTCTGGGAGGCTGAGGCAGGAGAATTACAAGTTCGAGCCCAGCCTAGGCAATTTAGTGTCTTAGTGACACCCTGACTCAAAATAAAAAATGAGCTGGGGATGTAACTCAGTACAAAGGCCCAGGCATCAATCCCCAGTACCTCAAAAAAATAAAAATTTAAAAATTTTCAAACTTACACAGTGAAAACTATCTGGAAAGAGTATGAAAGGGAAGAAGTTAAAAGAGTGACTAAAAAGCAGAGCAGGGATGTTTGGAAGCAGCTGCTCTGTGGGGGTTAGGGAAAATTACAAGAAAGGAAGAATTTAATGAAGTCTTATTGTTTGTTGTGTGATATGATTAATCAGTCCACCAATTTTTCAAGAGACTTTGGTGAAGATAAATTATTTTTCAAAGCTCTTTAAAAAGGAATCTATGTTTATCATTGGGTGTTTGTACCTGTACATGATATATCTTGGTTCTTATTTTTTTTTTCCCCATTACCTGTGCACCCTTCACCCCCTCCACCCTTCCCTATTTACATAGATTTCATTTCCATTTTTTTTTCTTTTCTCATAGTTTTTCCTTTCCC